TTTGCAAGGTGAGCTTGTAATGTGAATGTAGTTATCAAGTTCTGCTCAAGTTCTGCACGTGCTAGCTTTGCCTGTATCTCCTGCCTCCAGTTTGGTTATATCTCTCCAAAGCTCTCGGTGCGCCGACCCGTCGCTGGCATCTACATGGAACTACTGCTCATCATTTCTGTAGAATTTACATTCTATGGAAGCTCTGGTACTCAATGGTGTTTTTGATATTTTCTTGGGCGTGCAGATCTTTGTGCTGGGGCCGCGCCTCATTCTCAGTGTTAGAGAATATCACGCTAAGAACGTGGCCGACTCTGATGCAGCAACAAGCATGACTTCGATTGTCTTTCAGGAGCATGTACATGTGTCGACTAGCAGTACTGTGTGACACGGGCACGGGCACGGGAAATGATTGTTGGGTGCTTTGCTGGGAGGGTGGACCTGCTTAAAGTTTCGTCGTGGTATTTATATAACTCGTGTATGTTCTGATGTAGATTGGAAGAGTGTACTAGTCTATGGTAACCAATTTTTTGTGTTGATTAACACTGGCACTAAGTTGGGCTAATCTCCGAAATGATGTATAAACGAACGTCTTGCAAACATCCCAGTCTGTCGGTGATCGATACTGACTGGGAAAGAAATATAACTTGCCCAAACAATTCCAAGGTTTACGCTTAGACTATGTGCTATGCAGGTCCGCGCTTGCACAGTGAATGTCTGGGCTGCAAGCCTTCAGACACGTCTTGTAAATTTTACGAGATACTAACCGCATGGCTAGCAAAACTGCTCGATCTTCCTGGTGCCTCAAGTTAGTGTGTACTCAAGTGTAGCTGAAACGGGAGTATCTCAGTTGAAGACAAACGGCGCGTGTACAGATGCAAGTCGTACGAGTGTCACGAGAATCGCGCGCGTGGCGAAGACAGAGTGTAATCGGGAGTGCTAGACGGGAGTCTGAGAGCGAGCGCTGACAGGAAATTGATCGGAGACTAGCTGATTGAATAAAATTGGTTGCATAGCGTACGTTTAATTTGACGAGAACACATACAACTTTGACGGCTGCTTGTGCCCTTCGGTCAAGATTCGCGCTGATAACACGCTTCACTTTTGCTTGCGGGCGAGACTATCTACTCCAGAGCAGGAATGTTGATAAGCGTCATTTTGGCAGTCAAGTCCTTCGGGATCATAGTGTCGGTCTCAAGGTGCTAGTGTGTGTGTGTTGACTCGGACATGCTCGTCATATCTGGAGAGGCGCTTTGAGTTCCTCTTGACCACAATTTACAGCTACTCAAATACTCACCATCGACTTGTGTGCGATTCCCTATCGCAAAAAGAAGTCATTCGAAGCCCTAAAAATAGGCCTGTTCTCCTCCCAACCAGTTTCTTCTAACAGCTTTAAGATCGCTACCACACCACAGAGCGGGTATCTCGATTCTCAAGAGACCACGATCTGTCAAACGCGTCCACTCTCTTGTTCAATACTATACCCGTAGCTGGTGGCCTCCAGAATTCGATTTGTTTGCCTATTGGCCTGGCTTTTGCAACGATGCGTCGTCGAGGCTCAGAACAAAATCTTTCAAGCGAAAACATTTGAACAAAAGAGGAGCTCAGTTCAGCTGGCAGAACCCGGACGCATCACGTGGTCGTAAAACAAGTGGAAATTAGCATTTGATCTTCGACAATACATGGCAATAGTCTGATGGAAAAGATGTAGTGAGTAGCTTATGCGGCTGCCAGGTGTCTTGAGTTCTACTCAAACAAAGGGCATCTTTTTTTCAACTACCAATCGTCGACTACCCGATTGATCTGGAGGACTTCTCATATTACCGACCCCATCCGATCCGCCCACCGCCCCCGAGATTGAAACGGGTCGGATTGCAGCAAGCCCTCCTGAGCGGGTTAAATTCTGCAGCGACTCTAGACAAAACGTTCATGGTTCTTGGGAGGCTGGCCAAACTGAAGTGCGCCAACCTGTTCGACTCTTCCCCAAACTGGCTTCGAAACCTCTTTACTCTGTCCCTACGGTGGTGCATGCCCATCATGATGAGGCTCTGGATCACCTTCTGTCATTCAACCGCAGGTTTAGCTGCTGAAGATTACAGTATTCGAAAATTCTCGAAATCGAATATCACGCTCAGCACTGGGTTGATAGTGATCATGATATGGTCGTTCTAATTTCTAATTCCGTTCGTCGTTTCGGTTATTGTGATGAGTACTGCCGGATAGTCTGGGGATCATATACACCCGGACAATCGGACTCATCATTTCCTACGGGCCAACCAGGGCATCGAACCATCCGGAGTTCCCGGACTCTACTCGTGGCAGCTGTTGCAAGCCAAACGAAATCGGATATAACCTCGTGGTTATATGGCTCATTGATTGTCAAATCAAAGTTTCTTTTTGGTGCTAGGAAAGGAGTTCATCTCGATGCGCCTACACTCTCATGCTCTCTTCCTCCTTACACTTCTTCCCTCAGCTTCGATAAACGACACAAAATAACACACCATGGTCTTCATGCACCGCATTGCTCCTCGCAGCTCCTGAAGTGATTTTCCGGTGCAATACTGCCTCGTGCCGAGGTATATAGTATCTCCGAGGTGAATTGTCGTGAGGATGGTGGTCACGATGACGAACTCGTGAGTATTTAACTGTACACATGTTCGCTGTCTGCTCGGATAAAGATAAATTTATCCCACAGGAGAGGGTGGAGTTTATGAAAAAATTAATCGTGCGCGTCATGTGGATTGACGAGTGTAACGGATTGGAACGAGCTGTATTGTTCAGCTTCCGAATCAATTTTTCGTGTCCTAATTTTTTTATTCGAGATGATCGATCGATCACGCCTTGCGCAGCATTGGTTGAAATGAAGCATGCACCCACCTTGGCCTGCTAAATTATATCGCCGTGACGAATAGATGACAAACGTCTGCGGACTGCGGTATTACGCTCATGGCGTTCGCCTTGCACGATGCCCTTGAATATTTCAAGTCTAGTGCGTCGAATTCAATTTCACCACGAACAACGAATACATAGACAATGGCCAACAGGGGTAAAATACTTGTAAATCATTGTTTCGCCTCTTTTGGTTTTTTTTTCAACCTAACACGTGCGCAAAGGTTTAAAAGTAGTGGGTCGTAATAGGTAAACATTGTTCATTCTCCAGGTGCTACAGATAATTATACATGTGCACTTCCCAGAATATCCGACAGTCTTCCTGTACCTACACCCAACAACCTAGCTCCGAAGAACTCGAAAAAAAAACACAACAAAAATGGCGAACGAAGATCGAAAGCATGCTGAACGAAGTGTGTTGTAATAAATAAAGTGAAGTGGTGGTATGACTCGTTAAACCCTGTGCCGTTGCTTAAACACTACAGAGCATATAACATTGTCCTGGTTATCAAGGAGCAGTGCCTGGAGCTACAACCAACAACGGTAACTACCATCGTTCCCCGAATCAAATAATCATCTCCACTTACGTTTGTATATGAATGGAACAGTGTGCATCGCGTTCATGCAATGATGCAATAACAACCTCCGGAGCTTGATTGCGACTCCTCCTCCACTGGTGCTGACGATTCAATGCCCCTCTCACCGTCAACGGACAGAATAGCGAAGATGTTTGAGAATGAGTCCATTTCTTTTTGGGATATGGAGTGCGACTTTTACGAGTAGTCGAAGGTTGTATGAGAGATGGCAGTTGAATAAACTGCTAGTGAACGGTGAGTTCAGTTGACCAAGATCGCATTGTCGACGCCCTTATATACCTCTGAACTGTAACAATTTCACCATTGAGAAAACTTGGCGAAATTCCGCATAAATGCTCCGTCCTAATTTCATCAAGTATCACTGTCCAACTGAGCCCTGTCACACGCCCGCCATTGAGATTCCATCGACGTAGACAATAGACTTACAAGCCTAACAGCGAATACTCATGAGATATCACTGTATCGTGTGACGATTCCGACGGGTAGGGGGAGAAGCTGGACAATAAGGTCTTCCTAATCAGGCAACCGTCAGCAGTAGTATTCATTGCACGGTTCAACGTTTCAAATTTCAACTCTGTAATGATGACGAATGTTATTGGACGTGCCTTTTCAGGTGCCTTGCACCCTAAATGTATTGTTCGCCGGGATTGGTCGACCATACTCTTGAAGCTTGAGTCTTGACCTGGGGCGTGAACTTTATCGGCATCTGCGCTCCGAATATGATTCTAACGAGCCTGAGTCACTGATCAGGAGTCAGGAGTCGGGACGTGGTCCACCAGTGATGAACAAGCTTCTCAGAGCACGAATCCCTGATCATATAACATACCCCCACCTTCCAAGCGCTGGATCGAGAGCAAATAATCCTATGATGAAACAAAAAGAGGCTCGCAGCGTCAGGACTCGGAAACACGTTTCATAGGGAATCTGGCAGTGTCCACTGGATGAAACATTGCGGCACTGGCACATAAACAATACGTCTATTCGACGTCGACAATGCCACGGCCAGAAGCCTGAGTCGCGGGTCACTGCCAGGCTGTAGATAAGCTTATGACATATCTGATTGTCGTCCTGAGACCAAACTCCAAGAAACCATCAGTCGAAGGTGTGCAGGCCCGGGGTAGAATCTCTCACACAAAGCGTTTCAACTCGATCAATCCATCGCGAGCGGTGTATGGCTCATTCACATGAGTTTCAAAGAACACTGAATTCCATTCTGCACGCGATAGTACGAAGACACTTGTGTGTTGATGACTTGTCATGTAGTACATGTTGAGAAAGAATTTGAATACGGCCGCTGCATGTTGGATGAGAAAGTTATAATGCTTTACGAGTAAGGACAGAAAATGTGTTGCAAGAGGAGTGTACGTAGCATGGAGCATTCGTGGTAGAAGACAATTACTGCAATGTTGAACTGTAGTTTAATTCGGGGACCAGGGTACCTCAGTTGAGTGGAGAGGAGGTGGTGGGATCGTGGCAGCATAGCATCATGTGTGGTCGTTGCTAGAAAATGGGCGTAACTAGTCGTCCTCAGACTTGGACCGCACGGCTATTGTCTTATCACTGTCAGCATGCTGGAGAGTTTTCCTGTCTCCAACAATTCCGACACTGTGAAGGAAAAGTACTGCTAGTAGCGAAGCTATTCATCGTGACGATACGAATCCGTCAATAACGCACTCTCAAATCAGGCCGAATTTGCAGTACTCACCCATAAGCGCAAATGAAGCGCAAGTCCATTGCGCAGACCTATAACCTTTAAGCTGCGCGGAACGGGGCGCGTTGGTGCTAGCAGAGTTGAGGGTAACACCAAGGTCAGCAGACTCGTTTTTAACCACGATGTTGAACACAAGCGTAGATACGGCAAGTCCGACTGCAATGCCGAGCTGAAATTGACCTTAGAACAGGACAGTATCAATTGGTTTGACGCTGCTTACCTGTGCCATAGTTTGAAACATAGCTCCAGCCACGCTGCGCTCGTGAGGGAGTGCAATTTTGGCGATGAAAATTGTACCAGAAGAGTACACAAAATCAGCTCCGAACACGACAAGAACCGCGGACGGGAAACCAAATGCCCAATACGTCACGGTTGGGTCGATCAGCGCAAACAGGATGGCGGCAGATGCTGTCAATAGTGTTCCGCTTACTGGACGACAAGTCAGCCCACATGTTATAATGATTCTCGCACAGAACCGTACCTGCAAAGATGATCAAAGGCAATTTGCCAACAAACATTGCAACCAAGACATTGCACAAACAGCCCACGACGAACATTGGAATGAACCGGAGCATAGTTTCTATAGGTGTGAGCAAAAGGTAGTCCTGATAGTACAACTTAAATGGAGCGGAGTCAGCGTTTTCATTCCTCCGAGTGGAGAAACATGGACATACCTGAACCCAGAAGCTCCAGCTCATGAAACCACTCCAATTCAGGAATGCAATGACGAGAATGACAGCCATCCGGCCCTTCGCTCGCGTCCAAAGGGAAAGACTCATCAATGGCGGTGGTCTCCATGCGGACGGTGCTCTGGATGGATCATCTGTACCTTGCTCCAAGTGTCGCTCCCAAAGAAGGAACAGCAAAACCATGATAATCCCGATAATTAGAAGAGTAATAATGTCTGGCAATAATTATGCAATTCAGTAATACATGACACAGAAGAAGTCTTACATGGAGTTTTCCAGCCCTGAGGAGCAACTTCTCCTTGACCAAGTACAAATAAAATTAGAACCAAACCGACGGTGATGAGGGAAACACCGATCCAGTCGACAGCTTCCTCTGAAGTAACATCCGCATCAAATGAAATCACACCAGAAATACCCGTGAGAGCAGACATCGCTGCAACCAAATAAAATGGAGAGCGCCAGTGGGTCCTTTACGTGGACATCAAAAATTCAGCATCTCATATGAATAACATAACGTACGATGTTATCTGTGTGAGAACACCGCCGATGATCATGCCAAATGCGCCGCCCACAGGAGCGCCCGCTGCAAATGTCGCGAAAGCTATTGAACGCATTCTAGACGGAGGGAAAGCGTGGGCCAGGATACCGAGCTGACAAACTGCATGAGAATTTCAGTTCGAAGAAATATACAAAATGCTCACTGCGGACGGTATTGTAGCGGCGGCACCCGTGCCTTGGAAGGCACGCAAAATGACGAGGGTAGTACCACCTGTGATGACAGTGTAAATGGCTGGAGCTGACGGACAGATAAGTAGCACTCGCTCTGTGCAAAACCACAACCGAGAGAAAATGCGACTTGAGAGCAAGTACCGATCATGAAGGCTTTCTTCCGACCATAGATATCCGCCAACCTGCCAAAGAACAAGAGAAAGCAACCCTAAGAGGGAAGTAAGCCGGAATGTAGAAAGATAAAGAGAAATGATGATGCACCGAACTGAGGGAATAGGCCGATACGAGCCACTGCAGCTGCTCTTCCTTGATATTGAGGTCCTTTTCGATAGTCGGGAGGGAGATAGAGACAGAACTGGTATTAGTGACCTATCATCATAGCAAGCCATCATGAAAAAATATCGCAGATTATGATTACAATGAAGACATACGTTGACCACCATTGCAGCGGTGCATGTCGCGATGATGAAGATGGAGCGCCAAAGACTGCGCTGTACGTGATGTTGCTTGGCCTTCTCGAGGCCAATGAAATCTTGACGGATTGGTGAACGGGTAAGCTCCTTGGACATTACTTGTCGTGTTTCCCGGAAAATTGATAGTACAGCACTTGAGGGAGGATAACCTAAGATTCATCATGGCGCAATCGAACAACAACTTGAGTATACTAGTGCTGTTCGGGTCAAGAAAAAGTCCCCTTCTCCGGCGGAAGCAATTATTAATTAACCGGATCTTGGAGATTTGAGAACTGATCACGCGTAAATTGTAGAGGCGAGTCACCGTGACGCCTCGACTTTTCCTGAGTCAGAAAAATCTAAACGTACCTCGGAAGACTTCTATGGTTTCCAATAACGTTGTAGTTCAGCTAAAATTGTAATCAGTGTGCTAAAAATGACAATTTTATTTGTACGGCCAACAAATACGTCATGCTACAGTCCACTCGACGACAGTGATTGCAAAAACTTGCCGCCTATATATCTGAGCTTCATGTGTCACAACTTATCTTGATGCAAGCAATCCATGACCTTGCAATCCATGGTTGCATGACCATGATCGTAGCATATATGCAAGAAGAGTAGGCACGACGGGTTATGGCATGGAGGTAATAAATAAATGAGTATTGTAATTGAGAACCGCCGGCACAATCGGCAATTCAAACACCGTACTTCGACCAACCTGGCTACTAGACTCATAACCAGTCTGACTATGCGGCAATTTGAGATGGGTGAGAATTTGCATCCGTGGTAGTATACGCCACGCTGGTCACGAGCCTGGGGATAACAGTGGGAGCGTAGCCAAAACCAGCGTTGACGTCGGTTGCATATTACGACATCGTGTTTAACTTTCTCCTATGTTCTCATCCCTACGCTGGTGACTGATATAAACTATAAGTACAGTGCTCCGAACATCTCAGTTCTTTTCCTGAGACTAAATATACTGGTTCATTACCCACAGTCTTGTTTGCTTGTCCAGAAGTACTACAAGTATTACTACGCACCCTCTTTATTTCACGATCATGAGCAGGTATTGCAGTACCAGTAGTTGAGTCATGCAAGTCTCCTGATGCAGTCGAGAGGTGCACAACATCAAAAGAAGATACGAATCTCAAAGAACACTATTCCATTCCACGTGCGATGATGGTGTAGTGGAGTACATACCTACCAGTGGTAAGGGGAAAAGGCATCGTACGCAACCACTACACCTCAAATAAATTAATCAGGAAAGCAACGCCAATTGAAACTATGTGTCGTGCAAGATCGATCAAGAAAAAACAGGGACAGTCCTTTACGGGTAAAGACAGAGTGTTAGAAACGGGTGTAGGTAATATGGAACATTCAGAATTAGTCCAATGTTGAATTGTAGGTTGATTCCGAAACGAGTGTACGATTGAATAGAGAGGGTGGGATGATGGTACCATGTGTCGTTGTTGGATATCGATATTTGTAAAAAATGGGTGGATTTAGCCTTCCTTGGATTCGAACCGCTCGGCTATTGTCTGATCACTGTCAACATGCCTGAGAGTTTTCTTGTGTCCAACAATCCCAACACCGTGGAGGCAGAACGCTGCCAGCAGCGCAGCTATTCGCCGTGACAATACAAATCATCAACAAAGCACTCAACCCAGGCCAAACTTGCGATACTCACCCATAAGCGCAAACGAAGCACAAGTCCATTGCGCAGACCTATAACCCTTGAGCTGTGCGGAAAGGGGCGCGTTGGTACCAGTAGAGTTGAGGGTAACGCCAAGGTCATCAGACTCGGTTTTAACCACGATGTTGAACACAATCGTAGATACAGCAAGTCCAACTGCAGCGCCAAGCTATCCCAAAGAAATAGACCTTAGAACAGGACATTATCAGTCAGTTTGATTCTGCTTGCCTGTGCCATAGTTTGAAACAGAGCTCCAGCTACGCTGTGCTCATGCGGGAGCGCGATTTTGGCGATGAAAATCATACCAGCAGAGTACACAAGATCAGCTCCGACCACGATAAGAATTGTAGACGGGAAGCAAAACGCCCAATACGTTGTGGTCGGGTCAATCAGCGCAAACAGAATGGGGGCGACTGCTGTCAGTAGCGTTCCGCCGACTGGATGACAAGTCAGCCTGTTTTATGACATCCCTCACAAAGCCGTACCTGCAAAGATCACGAAAGACAATTTGCCAACAAACATTGCAACCACAACGTTGCACAAGCAGCCGACGATGAACATTGGAATGAACCGGAGCATAGTTTGCATAGGGGTAAGCGAAAGGTAGTTCTGATAGTACAACTTGAACAGAACGTAGTCAGCGTCCTCGTTCCCCCCCAGGCAGCAGGACATGGACATACCTGAACCCAGAAGCTCCAGCTAGTGAAAGTACAGGAATTCAGGAATGAAATGGCGAGGATGACAGCCATCCGACCGTTTGCTCGTGTCCAAAGCGAGAGACTCATCAATGGCGGTGGTCTCCATGCGGACGGTGTTCTGTACGGATCATCTATACCTTTCTCCAAGTATCGCTCCCAAAGCAGGAACAGCGAAACCATGATTATCCCGACGATCAGAAGGGCAACGATGTCTGGCAATAATCATGCAATTTAGCAATACATGACACAAAAGAAGTCTTACATGGAGTTTTCCAGCCTTGAGAAGCAACTTCTCCTTGACCAAGCACAAATACGATCAAGACCAAACCAACAGTAACGACGGAAGCGCCGATCCAGTCGACAGCTTCCGTCGAAGTAACATCCGCGTCGAATGAAATCATGCCGGAAATACCCGTTAGAGTAGACACTACTGCAATCAAATAGAATGTAGAGCGCCAGTGCGACCTTTATAAGAACATCAAAAAATCAGCGTCTCGCATGAACGACTTGGGACGTACGATGTTATCTGTACGAGGATACCACCGATGAGCATGCCGAATGCGCCGCCGACAGGGGCACCTGCGGCAAATGTTGCAAAAGCTACTGAACGCATTTTAGACGGAGGGAAAGCGTGGGCCAGGATACCGAGCTGACAAACTGCATGAGGATTCCGGATCAAGATATACAAAATACTCACTGAAGACGGTATTGTAGCGGCAGCACCAATGCCTTGAAAGGCACGCAAAATAACGAGGGTAGTACCACCTGTGATAATAATGTAAACGGATGGATCGGAAGGACAAATAGTGGCGCTCACTCTGTGCAAAACCACAACCAAGAGAAAATGCGACTTGAGAGAGTGTTCCGATCATGAAAGCCTTCTTCCGACCATAGATATCCGCCAACCTGCCAAAAAACAAGAGAAAGCAACCCTAAAAGGAAAGTAAACGAGAATGCAAGAAGATGAAGAGAAAGAATGACGGACCGAACTGAGGGAATAGGCCGAGATGAGCCACTGCAGTTGCTCTTCCTTGATATTGAGGCTCCTCTCGATGTTTGGGAGGGAGATAGAGACAGAACTGATATTAGAGACCTATAATCAAATAATGAATAGGAAGCCATCATTATGATTGCAATGAAGACATACGTTGACCACCATTGCAGCGGTGCATGTCGCGATAATGAGGATGGAACGCCAAAGACTGCGCTGTACGTCATGGTCCTTGGCCTCCTCCAAGCTAATGGAGTCAGATGAACGAGTAAGCTCCTTGGGCATAAGTTACTCCTCGCGTTTCCTGGAAATTTGTTAACAGTGCAGAGTTCGAGGGAGGATGATTCGATATTCATAATCGATAATTGGTCGCGACCTAATATATGCGTCGTATGTGCTGGTAGGTTTGTTGGCAGAACCCGGTAGTTTTTTTTGCCAGCTGGTCTGATCAAACCGTACCTGGTTAACGATAGAACGCGAATGGCAGAATTGGTGAAACTTCAGGTGATCAGAGACTCGCGAAAAGGTTATTCGTATTTGATATCAATGCTTAAAACTATGAAAAGCGAGGTCCCTCAGCCAACAAGAAATTTTGATAGATTTGAGACTGAGTGGCGACTGACAGTTCAAAATTTCAGCATTATGTAACATACTTGATGAAGCTGGAGAGGATCATACCGTACCTTGAACTGGCTTGACTCATCAGAGTTGACAATGTTTTTCAAGGCCAATTCCATTCTTCCCGCTACCCTAAATCACTATTCAATTCAAGAACTGATCACCCGCAAATCCATTAACATTAACGGTCTTTTATTAAAGTTCTTCACTTCAAAATAGGACATTCAATCAGCCAGACTAGTTATACCGTGCAATTCAGTCTCCCGACTGTTCAGCGTATGTAGTATGAGCCACTCAGATCCCTCAATTACTCAAGTTTCGGCGACCGGTGCATGGATAAGAAAAAAACCCACGACGAACGCCATAATGACGGTCATGTTATACCAAAACTCCACTGCCCGCTGACAGAACCAAGGTTGGCAGGAGAACTAGTCTAAAATAGTACGCTACCGGAGTTGCAAATCGCTGCGCTGATCCTCAGGTCCATATGCATCATGGCAGCCGCTCACTGGTACGATAATTGCCAGTACCTCAAAAAAGTTCCCAACGGTTCTGCAACTTCTACTTCTGCTATTACTGGATACGCATGCACCGGCACCGCGGCCACATCTCGACAACTCTCGGTCTAGTGCCAAAGATACAGCTTGGAGATCGTGACAACGATCTGGCTAACCATCAGCCGAGCTTCGCCGACAGGCTCGGACGCTTATTATGAACAAGACGGGCATTTGATGTCGGTGGGGTTTTTGGAGCGGAGAAATTTAATTTTGATGACTTGAAACCGGAGCGGGTTGAAATGCTGAGCAGGGAGTAGTACTCCAAGTGGCCATAGGTGGGATTAGTATCATGATAGCGAGGATAATGGATACTAGCATGTAAGTGTCGCGGATATCTGATATCTCCACTAGGACCGACAATTTTACCGTTAGAGTTGCTTATCCTACTCGGCAGAATTAAGGTCTTAACTTAGCACTCCCACCACACTACGTGCGCCGTGATGAAGTAGCCCCACATAGCGCAAGTCAAATCAGACGTTTATGTGAAAGCTGTTCCTCAAACTTTCAGCCAAATGAGTATCAATAAATTACTCGATCATCGTGACATCGCCACAGTACCAACAGATGTAATGTTCTACAGGTAGAAGAAATGACAGCAACAAAAACATGCAATGCCAGAGTCCAAAACGAGAGGGGTGTGCAAGTACAGTAATGATTATAACATAGGGAGACCATTAATGATAACAATGTTGAGATTTGGTTTTGTGAGTGCCTGCAGGTCCTGAAACCTGCACGACAGAAACAAAGACATGCAATGCCAAAGAATCAAAACGACACCGTACGCCGGTACGATAACTATTGTCGAGACGATTCATGGTAGAAATGTTGAATTTGGAATCGTGGGTTCCCATGATGAGGTGCGGTTGAATGAAGAAATGTAAAGGGGGGCATATACGAGTTCGTGATGGCATGGGTACCGTGTTCCTGATAGGTATAGGATATCGACGTCTTGCTTAGTTGGGCATAGGGGATATCTCAGCGCCGTCAGACTCGTGCTTCATAGCCATAGTCTCATCGGAATCAACGTGTCTGATAACCCTTTGATGGCCAACGATACCAACACTATAGAGGAAAAGCGCTGCCAGTAGCGCACCTATAATGACGGGTAACTGTCAACAACACGTTCCCGGAATAAGACAATTCAGTACTAACCCATCAAGGCGAATGATGTAGAAGTCCACTGCGCATCCTTGTACCCCACCAGTTGGGCAGACATGGGCGCGTTAGTCCCACTAGCGTTAACAGTAACGCCGAGTTTGGCAGACTCCTTATCAACCGCACTATTAAACACGATCGTGGATATAGTTAGACCGAAGGCGGTGCCGATCTAATCAAAAACACGTTAGTCTATCATAGAACACCGTTAGTGCTTTCACAGGACTTACCTGTGTCATGGTTTGAAATAGAGCTGCAGCTACGCTGTGTTCATGTGGGAGCGAGGTTTTGGCAATAAAGATAGTCCCGGCGGAGTACACAAAGTCGGCGCCGAACACAATGAGAACAGTGGATGGGAAACAGAAGGCCCAGTATGTTACGGTTGGGTCGATAAGGGCAAATAGGATGGTGGCAGTTGCCGTCAAGAGCGATCCGCTGACTGGACTACAAGTCAATTTCACATGTAAACATTCCACACATAGACACTTGCCTACAAAGATAACCAGGGGCAATTTGGAAACGACCATTGCCACGAAAAAGTTGCATAAACAGCCGACAATAAACATGGGAATGAAACGGATCATGGTCTTGACCGGCGACAATAACAGGTAGTTCTGATAATACAGCTAGAGCGGAGTCAGCAATGTTGTTCCATTAAGGCGGCGGAACATAAACATACCTGGACCCAGAAGCTCCATCCAATGAAAGCACTCCAATTTAAGAACGCAATACAGAGAACAACGGCCATCCGGCCCCTTGCTCTAGTCCAAAGTGAGAGCTTCATAAGTGGTGGCGGTGTCCACATGGATGCCGCTCTTGAGGGATCTTCCTCGATGATTCGTTCCAGCCTCCACTCCCAAGCTAAGAATAGTCCGACTAAGATCACCCCGATCACTAAGAGCGCGATAATATCTGTTGATTATTTTAGCCTATGATCCGGGTGGTATTGTGAGATTCTTACATGGAGTTTTCCAGCCATCCGAAGCGATTTCTCCTTCACCGAGGACGAATACGATCAAAACTAAACCGATAGTGATAAGCGAAGCGCCGATCCAGTCGACACGTTTGACAACTTCCGCTGAGGGAACGTCAGCATCGAATGAGATAAGACCGGAAACTCCAATGAGAGCTGAAGTTGCTGCGGCCATATAAAATATAGAGCGCCAATGCGTTCTGGGTGGCAGCGTGAGAACTAGAGCATGTATCAGCAATACTAATGATGACGTACGACGTGAGTTGAGTCAGGACACCGCCGATGAGCATGCCAAATGCGCCACCGACAGGAGCACCCGCTGCAAAGGTAGCGAATGCTATCGAACGTGCTCTTGATGGTGGGAATGCATGAGCCAGGATACCGAGCTGAGAAAGTGAGTGAGTACTTTTCCATGAAATGTATTTCCGAAGAACTTGAACTTACTGCGGATGGTATTGTAGCAGCGCCTCCAACACCTTGGAAGCCACGCAACACGGCGAGAGTCACACCATCTGTGATTACGTTATGAGTGAACGGAGCACGCGAACGATCGAAAAGGCGCGCCAACCTTGTGCAAAGCCACAACCAAGAGAAAAGGCAACTTGGCAAACCGTACCGAGCATAAAGGCCTTTTTTCTTCCATAAAGATCCGCCAATCTGCCGAAGAATAATAGAAGACAACCCTAACACGAGGTGAGCCACTACGTTACGACAGACAAAATGGAAGCAACAACGCACAGAACTGAGAGAATATGCGGATACGAGCCACTGAAGCTGTTCTTCCTGGATATCGAGGCTCTTCTCGATTGTAGGGAGGGAGATAGAGACGGAGGTGGTATTAGATATCTACAGTCAAGAAAGATGTCACAAAAGGTCAGCGAGCAAAGGTATTAGTGACACTCACATTAACAACCATTGCGGCGGTACAAGTGATGACAATAAAAACGGAGCGCAAAAGACTGCGCTGAGGGCCATTGGCCTTCGCGGTCTCGAGGTTACTCATTGAACGGCCAAGTTCCTTGCCGGAAGGAGTGGCGAGGTTTAACTCCTTGGACATTACTTTTCGTGATTCCCTGTTTAATTGAACGTTGCAGGGGAGGGAGAGAAATGCAAGAGTCTAACGTTGGAATCCAGCGAATGGCGCATGGGTTTTATAGGTCGCATTGCCGCAGAGTACTACTACTAAGCGTGTTTATCGCAAAGGCTAAGTGAAACCCTGATTCGGCAGCTAGCGTCCGGCACGAGCGCATTCTACTACTAAAAAGCATCACGCGATTATTAATCATGAACAGTTATTCTGGTCTCAGTCGAGGCACTCAGGAGATCGTCGGACAGCTATAGCCTAGTCTAGTATATCTGGTAACCAAAACCTATGACCCGCGGCCGGCGATGCCACTAGTCTCACACATAATTACATTGCATTCGTCAGCACGCTGGTACCACATGTGCGGTTCGCTACAGCACGGAACCTTACTGAAAGTTCATGAGAGGACATGCTTTAAGGGTGCCTGTCGGCCCTACAGGAAAATCCCCGAACCCCACCTATCACATACATCACCGCGAAACGCACCTATACCGCATTTCACGATAACCTCAGACTACTCAGATTGAGCGGGGATACGTGCAGATATATGGCAATAGTGCGTAAAAACAAAGCCTTTTAAAAAATTAACGTATAAAATGCTGCTTAACTCGGAGCAAACGTCGTGGCTATGCCGTCCTATCACTCCTTAATCTTTGCGAGGATCTCCGAATCCTTGAACAAAAAGTACTCCTGCAAAACTCAATCAGCAAAAGCACCACCTATCCATCAGAAGACAAGCTGACCTCTTCCCCTACTTTGATCGAATTCCCTCCCCAACCAGGGAGCAGCACCCGGTCACCGGCCTTAACCTGAGTAGGAACGACATTCCCATCTTTATTAGGTGCTCCAGGCCCCACGGCAATCACGGTCGCTTCAGGTAAGGGCGTAGTGGTCGATG